AATTTCTCAGCAGTTTCTTGTCCATGAAGGATTTTATTTCTCCTTCAGTTATGAAGTTTACTTTGCCTTGAAATGAAATTCTGTGTTGAACGCTCTTTTCTTTAAGCATGTTAAATATTGGCCCCCACTCTCTTCTGGCTTATAAGATTTCTGAGAGAGCCACTATGAATCGGATGGGCTTCCCTTTGTGGGTAACCCACCCTTTCTCTCTGGCTGCCCTTAGCATTTTTTCCTTCACTTCAACCCTGGCGAATCTGATAACTAAGTGCCTTGTGATTGCTCTTCTCGAGGAGTATCTTTGTGATGTTCTCTGTATTTCCTAAATTTGAATGTTGGCCTGCCTTTGTAAGTTGGGGAAGTTCTCCTGGATAATATCCTGAAGAGTGTTTTCCAACTTGGTTTCATTCTCTCTGTGACATTCAGGTAAACCAATCAAATGCATATTTGTTCTTTTTACATGATCCCATATTTCTTGGAGGCTTTGTTCCTTTTTTTACTCTTTTTTTCTCCATTTTTGCCTTTTCACTTTATTTCATTGAGTTGATCTTCAATCTCTGATATCCTTTATTCTACCTGATAAATTCAGCTATTCAAACTTGTGTATGCTTTATAAAGTTCTTGTGCTGTGTTTGTCTCCTCCATGAAGTCGTTTATGATCTTCTCTATGCTGGTGATTCTAGTTAGCATTTTGTCTACCCTTTTTTCAAGGTTCTTAGCTTCCTTGCATTGGGTTAGAACATACTTCTTTAGCTTGGAGACGTTTGTTATCCCCCTTCTGAAGCTTGCTTCGTCTATTAGTCAAACTCATTCTCCATTCAGTCTTGTTCCCTTGGTGAAGAGGAGTTGTGATCCCTTGGAGAAGAGGCATTCTGGTTTTTGGTGGTTTCATCCCATCCTCTTGGATTTATCTACCATTTGTCTTTGAAGTTGGTGACTTTTGGTTGGGACCTCTGAGTGGACACCCTTGTTGATGTTGAAGCTATTTCTTTCTGTTTGTTAGTTTTCCTTCTAACAGTCAGGATCCTATGCTGCAGGTCTGCTGGATTTTAGACCCTGCTTGCCTGGGAATCAACTGTGGGGCTGCAGAACAGCAAAGAGTGCTGCCCGTTTCTTCTTTTGGTAGCTTCATTGTAGAAGGATACCCGCCAGATGTCAGCCAGAGCTCTGCTGTATGAGGTGCCTCCCAGTCAGAATACATGGAAGTCAAGGAACCACTTGAGGAGGCAATTTGTCCCTTATTATAGCTCAGTTGCTGTGCTTGGAGTTCTGTTGCTTTCTTCAGAGCTGCTGGTCAGGGATGTTTGTCTGCTGAAACCGAACCCACAACCTCCCTTTTTCCCAGGTGCTCTGTCCCAGGAAGGTGGGGGCTTTATTTATTAATCTCTGATGGACAGCTGCCTTTTTTCAGAGATGCCCTGCCCAGCAAGAAAGGAGTTTAGTCACAGACTGCCTGCAGACGCCTTGCAGAGCTTATGTGGCCTCGACCTAGTTACTGTGTGAACTTCCTGGCAACACTGTTTACACAGGTGGAATTAAAACATCTTACCTGGGCCTCAGTAATGGTGGATGCCCTCCCTACATCAAGCTCAAAAGTCCCAGGTTGAGCTCAGACTGCTGGGCCACCTGCAGGAATTTCAAACCAGTGGATCTTAGTTTGCTGGTCTTCATGGGGTTGGACCTGTGGAGCCAGATCACTTGGCTCCCTGGATTCAGCCCCCTTTTTTTTTTTCAGGAGAATGAACAGTTATGTCTCACTGGTGTTCCAGGTGCTACTGGGGTATGAGAAGAAAAAAGAAAAAAACTGCTGCAGCTAAAAGGGCTGCCTAGTTTTGTGCTGGAAACCTGGGGCACTGGTGTTGTAGGCACCAGAGGGAATCTCTTGGTCTGTGGGTTGTGAAGACCATGGGAAAAACTCATTAGCTGAGCCAGAGTGCCAGAGTGTCCAGAGAAGTACCTAATGGCTTCCCTTGGCTAGGAGAGGAAGTTCTCTGGCCCCTTAAGCTTCCTGGGTTAGGTGACACCCCACCTTACTTCAGTTTGCCCTCCTTGGGCTACACCCAGTGACTAACCAGTCCCAATGAAAAGAACCTAGGAACTTGGTTGGAAATGTGTAGATCACTTGTCTTCTGGCTCACTCTTACTAGGAAGTGTGGATCTAAGCTGTTTCTGTTAGGCCATCTTGGCAAAAGTCCTGATGTGGTAGATATTTTCAAGGGGTTTAGAGCATCTAAAGATACTTCTTGCTCAATCCTGTTGTTCTCAATTTTCCATTTCAGAGCTGTTGGAATTTTTAATTGATTTATATGTGTACTGTTGTTATTGTTTCTAAGTTTGCTTTAGTGTCTGTAAAAGCCAAGTCATTAGCTTCCTCTATGGACATTCATTTTCAGACACACTTTGCTTTATCCTTTGAAACAAATGGAAGAATATTTCTGTTGCTAGTATTCACTCCTTGGAAACATCGGAAATCACACTGTCTATATGAAGTGAAGAAAAGTAGTGTGACCAGTTATGTCCCCGTAGATATAGAGGTGATTCTGTACTTTGCCTCCTCTGTTGCTGTTATTTTCTATGTCAGCCTTCAGCATGGTATTAATGGTATATTGGATGTTGGCTATGTGTCAAATAAGATATTGCTTAGTGCCTAATTATTCTAAGGATGTATTTTGGAAATCAAGGATAAGGGAGGAAAATAGAAAAAAAAAGGACCCAGAAATATTCTTACTGATGCTCAAATTTAATGTGGCCTTTGTATTTTCAGAATTGTATTTTGAAAATGTATTTCTAAATGACTGATAGATTGAATGTTGATAGTTGTACATTGAAAATTTCAATAAATGTGCATATGGTAAAATAGGTTTAGTCCAGAGAAAGCACAGGAGAGTAACTGAAATGCAGGCTATGACATCATCTACTATGAGATCTGAGGCCTGACAGAGCCATTTACTAGTCAGGAGAATTTGGGCAAGTTGCATAATGTTTTAATGTGCACTTTTCTTAGAACTAATTAAAAAAAAAAAAAGGGGAGTGCCTGGCAAGGTGGCCAAATAGGAACAGCCCTGGTGCACAGCTCCCAGTGAGAGTGACACAGAAGCCAGATGATTTCTGTGTTTGTAACTGAGATACCTGTTTCATCTCATTGGGACTGGTTAGAAATTGGGCACAGCCCAAGGAGGACAATCCTAAGCAGAATGGGGCATCGCTTAACCCAGGAAGCTCAAGGCGCCAGGTTTAGGCGCCAGGGAACTCCCTCTCCTAGTATAGGGAAGCCATAGGGACTATTCCCAGCCCTTGGGCTCAGATAATGTGCGTCTCCAGTGGTATTCACAACCCACAGACCAGGAGATTCCTTCAGGTGCCTACAACCCCAGGGCCCTGGGTTTCCAGCACAAAACTGGGTGGCCATTTGGGAAAATATCAAGCTAGCCACAGCAGTTTTTTTTTTTTTCTTATACAAGTGGTACCTGGAATGCCAGCACGATAGAACCATTTACTCCCCTGAAAAAGGAAGCTGAAGCCAGAGAGCCAAATAATCTGACTCAGTGGGTCCCACCCCCATGAAAAGCACCAAGCAAAGATCCACTGGCTGGAAATTCTCACAGCCAGCACAGCAGTCTGAGCTCAATCTGGGATGTTCAAGCTTGGTGGGGAAAGGGGCATCTGCCTTTGCTGAGGCTTCAGTAGGTGGTTTTAACCTTACCTGTATAAACCAAGTATCTAGGAAGTTTGAAATGGGTAAAGACCACCACAGCTCAGCAAGGCCACTGCAGGCAGACTGTGTCACTAGATGCCCTCCTCACTGGGCAGAGTATCTCTGAAAAATGCCAGCAGCCAATCAGGGAGTTATAAATAAAGCCCCCACCTTCCTGAGACAGAGCACATGGGAAAAGGGGTGGTTATAGGTACAGCTTCAACAGACTTAAATGTCCCTACCTGGGAGCTCTGAAGAAAGCAGCAGATCTCCAAGCACAGTGTTTTAGCTATAATAAGACACTCACTGTCTTCTCACATGGCTCCCTGATCCCTGTGTATCCTGAGGAGGACGGGTTAACAGTCACCTCATACAGGAGAGCTCTGGCAGGCTTCTGGTGGGTACCCTTCTGGGATGAAGCTGCCAGACGAAGGAACAGGCAATCTTTGCTGTCCTGCTGGTGATTCCCAGACAAGCAGTGTCTGGAGTGTACTTCTAGCAAAGTCCAGAAGACCTGCAGCAGAGGGACCCAATTGTTAGAAGGAAAACTAACAGAAAGAAATGGTGTCAACATCAAAAGAAAGGACGTTCACTCACAGACCCTAACCAAAGGTTACCAACTTCAAAGATGAAAGGTAGAGACATCCAAAAGATGGGAAGAAACCAGCACAAAAAGGCTGAAAATTCCAAAAGCCAGAATATGTCTTCTTCTCCAACGGATATCAACTCTCCTGCAGCAAGGGAACAAAACAGGATGGATAATGAATTTGATAACTTGACAGAAGCAGGCTTCAGAAAGTGGGCAATCACAATCTCTGAGCTACAGGAGCATGTTCTAACCCAATGTAAAGAAGCTAAGAACCTTGAAAAGGGTAGACAAAATGCTAACTAGAATCACCATCATAGAGACAAACTTTAACGACTTAATAGAGCTGAAAAACACAGCACGAGGACTTTGTGAAGCATATACAAATTTCAGTAGCCGAATCGATGAAGCAAAAAAAAGGGTATCAGAGATTGAAGATCAACTAAATAAAGTGAGAAGACAAGACTAGAGAAAAAAAGAGTGAAAAGAAATGAACAAAGTTTCCAAGAAATATAGGATTACGTGAAAAGACTAAATCCATGTTTGATTCGTGTAGCTGAAAGTGTCAGGGAGAATGAAACCAATTTGGAAAACACTCTTCAGGATATTATTCCAGAACTTCCCCAACCTAGCAAGGCAGGCCACATTCAAATTCAGGAAAAACAGAGACCACCACAAAGATACTCCTCAAGAAGAGCAACCCCAAGACATATAATAGTCAGGTTCACTAGGGTTGAAATGAAGGAAAAAATGCTAAGGGCAGCCACTGAGAAAGGTCAGATTATCCAAAAAGGGAAGTCCATCACACTCACATACTATCTCTTGACAGAAACTCTACAGGACAGAACAGAGCGGGGGGCAATATGCAACATCCTTAAAGAAAAGAATTTTCAACCCAGAATTTCATAGCCAGCCAAACTAAGGTTTATATGGAAAGGAGAAATAAAATCCTTTATGGGCAAGCAACTGCTAAGAGATTTTGTCACTATCAGGCCAGCCTTACAAGAGCTCCTGAAGGAAGCAATAAACATGGAAAGGAAAAACCGGTACCAGCTACTGAAAAAAGCATACCAAATTGTAAAGATCAATACTATGAAGAAACTGTATCAACTAATAGGCAAAACAACCAGGTAACATCATAATGTCAAGATCAAATTCACATATAACAATATTAACGTTGAATGGAAATGGGCTAAACGCCCCATTTGAAAGACACAGACTGGCAAATTGGATAAAGGGTCAAGACCCATTGGTGGATGTATTGAAGAGAGTCATCTTAAGTCCAAAAACACAAATAGGCTCAAAATAAAGGGATGGAGGAAGATTTAGCAAGAACATGGAAAGAAGAAAAAAAAAAAAAAAAAAGCAGAGGTTAAAATCCTAGTCCCTGAAAAAACAGACTTTAAACCAAAAAAGTTAATAACAGACAAATAGGGCATTATATATTGGTGAAGGGATCAATGCAACACAGAGAGCTAACTTTCCTAAGTACATACACACCCAATACAGGAGCACCCAGATACATAAAGCAAGTTCTTAATGACCTACAAAGAGGCTTAGACTCCACACAATAATAAAGGGAGACTTTAACATTCCACTGTCAATATTGGACAGATCAACGAGACCGAAAATTAGCAAGGATATCCAGGACTTGAACTCAGGTCTGGACCAAGCAGACCTAATAGACATACACCCCAAATACACAGAACATACGTTCTTCTCAGCACCACATTGCAGTTATTCTAAAACTGACCACATAATTAGCAGAAAAACACTTCTCAGCAAATGTAAAGGAACAGAAATCATAACAGTCTCTCAAATCACAGTGCAATCAATTAGAACTTAGCATTAAGAAACTCACTAAAACCATATAACTACATGGAAAGTGAACAACTTGCTCCTGAATGACTACTGGATAAATAATGAAATGAAGGCAGAAATAAAGATATTGTTTGCAAACAATGAGAAATTGTACCAGAATCTCTGGGACACATTTAAAGCAGTGTGTAGAGAAAAATTTATAGCACTAAATGTCCACATGAGAAGTGAGGAAAGACCTAAAATTTGCACCCTAATGTAATGACTAAAGGAATTGGAGGAATAAGAACAAAAAAATTCAGAAGCTAGCAGAAGGCTAGAAATAACTAACGCAAGAGCAGAACTGATGGATATAGGGACACACACCAAAACAACCTTCAAAAAATCTATGAATCCTGGAGCTGGTGTTTTGAAAACATCAATAAAACCGATGGACCACTAGCCAGACTAATAAAAGAGAGAATAATCAAATAGATGCAATAAAAAATGATAAAGGTGTTATCACCACCTATCCCACAGAAATACAAACTACCATCAGGGAGTACTATAAACCCTCTAGCAAGTAAACCAGAAAATCTAGAATAAATTCAAAAATTCCTGGATACTTACACCCTTCTAAGACTAAACCAGGAGGAAGTCAAATCCCTGAATAGCCCAATAACAAGAGCTGAAATTGAGTCAGCAATTAATAGCCTACCAACCAAAAAAAGTTAGGACCAGACAGATTCACAGGTGAACTCTACCAGAGGTACAAAGAGAGGCTTGTACCATTTCTTCTGAAACTATTCCAAACAATACAAAAAGAGAGAATCCTCTCTAATTAATTTTGTGAGACCAACATCATTCTGAATACCAAAACCTGGCAGAGACACAACTAAAGAAAATTTCAGCCAATATCCATAATGAACATCAGTGCAAAAATCCTCAGTAAAATACTGGCAAACTGAATGCAACAGCACATCAAAAAGCTTATCCATGACGATCAAGTCAGCTTCATCCTGGGGATGCAGGGCTGGTTCAACATATGCAAATCAATAAACATAATCAAACACATAAAGAGAACCAAAGACAAAAACTATGATTATCAATAGATGCAGAGAAGAGCTGCAACACAATTTAACAGCCATTTATGCTAAAAAAAAAAAAAAAAAAAAAAAAAAAACATTCTAAATAAAGTAGGTATTGATGGAATCTCTCAAAATAATAAGAGCTATTTATGACAAACCCACAGCCAGTATCATACTGAATGGGCAAAAACTGTAAGCATTCCCTTTGAAACAAGGATGTTCTCTCTCACCCCTCCTATTCAACATAGTATTAGAAGTTCTGACCAAGGCAATTAGGCAAGAAAAAGAAATAAAGGGCATTCAATTAAAAAAAGAGACAAATTGTCTCTATTTGCAGACGACATGAGCGTATACTTAGAAGACCCTATCATCTCAGCCCCAAATCTCCTTAAGCTGATAAGCAACTTCAGCAAAGTTTCAGGATACAAAATCAATGTGCAAAAATCACAATAATTCCTACACACCAATAACAAACATAGAGCCAAATCATGAGTGAACTCTCATTCATCACTGCTACAAAGAGAATTAAATACTTAGGAATACAACTAACAAGGGATGTGAAGGACCTCTTCAAGGAGAACTACAAACCACTGCTCAAGGAATTAAGAGCTGACACAAACAGATGGAAAAACTTTCCATGCACATGGATAGGAAGAATCAATATTGTGAAAACTGCCATACTGCCCAAAGCAATTTACAGATTCAATGCTATCCCCATCACACTACCACTGAATTTCCTCACAGAATTGGAAAAACAACTACCTTAAATTTCATATGGAACCAAAAAAGGGCCCACATAGCCAAGACAATCCTAACCAAAAAGAACAAAGTTGGAAGCATCACACTACTTCAAACTATACTACAAGCCAACAGTAATCAAAACAGCATAATAGTGGTACCAAAACAGAGATAGAGACCAGTGGATCAGAACAGAGGACTCAGAAGTAATGCCACACATCTACAACCATCTGATCTTTGGCAAACCTGACAAAATCAATGGAGAAAGAACTCCCTGTTTAATCAAAGCTGTTGGGAAAATGGGCTAGCCATGTGCAGACAGCCAAAACTGCGTCTATTCCTTACACCTTATACAAAAATAAACTCCAGATGGATTTCAGATTTAAACATAAGACCTAACACCTTAAAAACCCTAGGAGAAACTGTAGGTAAACCATTTAGGACATATCATGGGCAAGAACTTCATGACTAAAACACCAAAAGCAATGGCAACAAAAGCCAATATAGACAAATGACAGCTAAGTAAACTAAGGAGCTTCTGCACAGCAAAACAATCATTAGAGTGAATTGGCAACTAACAGAATGGGGAAAAATTTTTGCCATCTACCCATATGACAAAGGGCTGTAGAATCTACAAAAATTTAAATTTACAAGAAAAAAACAACCACCCCATCAAAAAGTGGACGAAGGATGTGAACAAACACTTCTCAAAAGGAGACATTTATAGAGCCAACAAACATATGGATAAAAGCTCATAATCTCTGGTTATTACAGAAATGCAAATCAAATCCACATTGAGATACCACCTTATGCCAGTTAGAATGGTGATCATTAAAAAAATCAGAAGACAGCAGATGCTGGAGAGGATGTGGACAAATAGGAACATTTTTACACTGTTGGAGGGAATGTCAATTAGTTCAGCCATTGTGGAAGGCAGTATGGCAATTCCTCAAGGGTCTAGAAGTAGAAATGCCATTAGACCCAGCAATCCCATTACTAGATATATACTCAAAGGATTATAAATCATTCTATTATAAAGACACATGCACACATATGTTTATTGCAGCACTGTTCACAATACCAAAGACTTGGAACCAACCCAAATGCCCATCAACAATAGACTGGATAAAGAAAACATGGCAGCAGCTTCTGCATGGCTAAGTAAACAGTCATTAAAGTGAATCGGCAACCAACAGAATGGCAAAAAATTTTTGCACTTTACCCATCTGACAAAGGGCTGATATCCAGAATTTACAAAGAACTAAAACAGATTTACAAGAAAAAAACAAACAAGCTGACTGAAAAGTGGGCAAAGGATATGAACAGATACTTTACAAAAGAAGACATGCATGAGGCCAACAGACATGAAAAAATGCTCATCAGAACTGGTCGTCAGAGAAATGCAAATCAAAACTACATTGAGATACCATCTCACACTAGTTAGAATGGTGATCATTAAAAAAACCAGAGACAACAGATGCTGGAGAGGATGTGGAGAAATAGGAACACTTTTACATTGTTGGTGGGAGTGTAAATTACTTCAACCACGGTGGAAGACAGTGTGGTGATGCCTCAAGGACCTAGAAATAGAAATTCCATTTGACCCAGCAATCCCATTACTGGGTATATATCCAAAGGATTACAAATCGTTCTACTATGAGGACACGTGCACACGAATGTTCATTGCAGCACTGTTTACAATAGCAAAAACCTGGAACCAACCCAAATGCCCATCGATGACAGACTGGACAGGGAAAATGTGGCACATATACACCATGGAATATTATGCAGCCATCAACAACGATGAGTTCGTGTCCTTTGTAGGGACATGGATGAACCTGGAAACCAGCATTCTCAGCAAACTGACACAAGAGCAAAAAATCAACCACCACATGTTCTCACTCACAGGCGGGTGTTGAACAATGAGAACATATGGACACATGGAGGGGAGCACTACACACTGGGGTCTTTTTGGGGGGAAATAGGGGAGGGACAGTGGGGGTGGGGAGTTGGGGAAAGATAGAATGGGGAGAAATGCCCGATATAAGTGATGCAGAGGAAGACAGCAAATCACACTGCCACGTGTGTACCTATGCAACAATCTTGCATGTTCTTCACATGTACCCCAAAACCTAAAATGCAAAAAAAAAAA